GCACAGTTCTCTCGCTTGCTCATTCTTCTCTCTGCTTTCGCAAAACGTTAGCGATTTTTTTTTTTTTTTTTTGTCAGTTTTGTGGCGGGACTTGGTTTCATCGTTACCTCTAACGCTATTGGTTACCCTCACTTTCCGGAAGTTAGCCGGGTTTGGGTGAAGGTTATGATGGTCCACATTTGATCTGTATGGAAAGCTAGTTTCCCGTTTGAATAAAAATGATAGAGACCAAAGTCCCACCCCAAGAAAAATCATGATTGTGCAAAGTGAAAACCGGGGCGGGATCTATCACGTTTTAGCTACTTGTACATTAAGGTAGCATTTAGAAACAACAAAACACCTGAGAAGAAACTTGATAGTGTTATTGCAGATCACACAATTAGCACGCAGAAGTGTAAATGCACGACTACACGCAAAGCAGGCGCTGTGGGTCACGGAGATCACTTAATGCAGAAGTATAAACCAGCCTTAAGCTGAAGCAGAACGAATGAAGTCATGTGGTAAAATTGTATTCTTATCTCAATGTATATATGTATAAAGTTTAAACCAGAAGTTTACATACACTCTAAAAAAAAGGAACTTAACCATTTTTTTTAAATGTCTGATGGTAAATCATACTAAACTTTTACTATTTTAGATCCATTAGGATTACCTAAATGATTTACATTTGTTAAATGCCGGAATAATGAGAGAATTTATTTATTTTATTTTATTTTTTATTAATTTCTGGACAGTCAAAAGTTTATGTAGATTTCCTTGGTATTTCTTTTAGCTTTTTAAACTGTATAACTGGTCAAATGTTTTGGGTATCCCTTCACAAGCTTCTCACAATAGTTGGAAGGAATTTTGGCCGTTTCTGATTTGGTGTGAATGAGTCAGATTTGTTGGCTGTCTTCCTCGCACAAGCTTTTTCAACTCTGCCCACAAATTTTCTATAGGCTTGAGTTCAGGGCTTTGGTATGGCCACTCCAAAACATTCACTCTGTCCTTTAAGCACATTTTAACTCATTTGGCAGTATGCTTAGGGTCATGGTCTGTTTGGAAGAGCCATTTGTGGCCAAGTTTAATTTCCTGGCTGATGTCTTGAGATGTTGCTTCAGTATTTCTACATAATGTTCTTTCATCATGATGCCATCTATGCTGTGAAGTAGACCAGTCTCTCCTGCAGCCACCCAACATGATGCTGCCGCCCTCAAACTTCACAGTTGAGATGGTGTTCCTAGGCTTGTAAGCTTCCTCTTTGTCCTCCAAATGTAACACTGGTCATTATGGCCAAACAGTTCAATCTTAGCTTCATCAGACCACAGGACATGTCTCCAAAAATGATTTGTTTCCCAGTGTAATTTAGCTAATTGTAATCTGGCTTTTGTTGTTGATTCTGGCTTGTTGATTTTCCCATGTTGTCACACAAGGAAGCAGTGTGTTTGAGGTTTTCCTTTAATACTATTTTACAGCTGTGCCTCCATTTAACCCAAATGTTGTCAATTAGCCAATCAGAAACTTCCAAAACCTTGACACCATCATCTGAGCTTTTTCAGAGATGTAATAATCTTATTGTATGTAAACTTGACTTTCAAGAAAAGTTATAACAATTTCTCAAAAATATCTTTCTCATTATTCTGCTATTAAGCATAAAAGAATCAAATTTGATAATCCTAACTTATCCAAAGGAGAAAAAGTTTAGTCACATTAACATCTGACTTTTATGTGACACTTTATACAGTGTATGTAAGCTTCTGCTTTCAACTGTAGACATGTATGTGTATGTGTATGTGTGTGTGTGTGTGTGTATATATATATATATATATATATAACCCTGTTATAGATGTGACGACTCTCCATTATGAATGTGACAGATGTGAAATTGGCACTTGTGTGACTTTGGTAAATCAAATTTAATTGTTTGAAATCATTGACAGACATTTTTGAGTATTTTTACAGTACTGTAAAATACAAGCCCACACAAAAACTTAGAAATGATTTTGCTATTTTGGTGAAAACTTTTTTCATGGCAAGGTTGACATTTGTGTGGAATCTGTGTGGTATCGCAATGCTCAATTTTTGCAATATCGTGCATCTCTAGATTTGCACCACTTATTGAGGGTTCTGCGCATGTTTACGAGGGGATTTTTGCATTGAGAAGCACAGGCTTTTCCTTTACTGGTATCAGATGCCTTGTCAGATGTCTTCCTCTCAACATCAAAGATGGCCTCACAGATATTTCTGTGTCTGACCTGTGGTGTGTTATAAAGCAACAAGAGCGATATTAGTCATTCTCTTCCTGTACTAGAGAGGTGAGTGAGTAAAAGTGAAGAATCTGTATCGTAGCGCCGGAGTTAATCAGAAGCCGCCAGCACTGCCCTGATGAGCTAAACTGATACACTTTGTCGCATTTTAGATTCATTGAAGAGTTTCATTACTGAGATTTCCATGTCAGCAGATGCGCCAAACTATTCAATTCAAGTTTGTTTGCATAGCGCTTTTCACAATTGTTTTAAAGCAGCTTCACAAAGGTGCACTTTATTGCATCACAATCAAATTCGGATAAGTTAAGGTTATTAGTTACTATAACTTTAATAGTTACTATTAACTTTACCTAATTAACTTGTAACTAATAGCTTTTAACAGTTAAGGTTAGTATACAGTATATAAACATAGTTAATCTGCAGTTATATGATATTTACGTGATGTCTACAATGTAAAAATTCCATCATGTGGTCCCAACACAAATCAAGTAAGGTAACTTAATCGTTTATTTACAAATTAAAGTGGATTGAACATAAAATATGGAACAAAAGCAATGCCAAAAATATTGAATTAAAAAGCTTGTTAAATATCACAAAATGAAAAAAATAGTACACCGAATTAACAAGTTCTTGCATTTTAATGACTTGAATTCCAGGTTTTGTATTTTTAGGTCCTGAAATTTAACATATCAGTTTATTTAAGCTGTGAATATTTCAACTAAAAATATTTCAAACATGTTTTCATACTTGTAAATTTAACAATTCATATTCAATTTCCAGGTTTCACTTACAAAATATTTAATACCCTTTAAAAATACAATGTATAATATTCAAAAGGCAATTTTCAGAAAAAAAAAAATATTTTTATTATTATAATTTTTTTAAAGGGTATTGAATATTTGGAAATTAAATATGAATATGAACAAAGTATCATTACTTGCCTAAAAATGTAGTGCGAGTAGAGTAAAAGTATCTGTTGTAAATATTACTCAAAGTATGAGTATAAAGTAGACCTTTCAAAAGTACTCAAGAGTACCGAGTATTGCGCTGTGAAAAGCTGATGCGTTTACATGCAATTTGTGGATGTGTGTAAACGTAACATTCTGTAGTGCATTTAGTTATTGTATGCACACAACATCATAAGACATTAATATTAGGTCAGATTTAGGTTGTGATGTCAGGTGACCAAAATTCAATGTCTAGTCAGCGTCTAAGAACAGCATTATTTTGATGTGCAATAATGACGTTCATATTTGGTCGATTTTAGGTTGTTAGAAAGAGACCAAAATCCAACGTCAAGCCAACATCTTAAACCAACATCATTGACGTCAAATACTGATTTATTCCTCAGGTATGGCAACCAAAATCCAACATCTTATAGACGTCATAGTGATAACATCCACACAACATCAAGCTGTAACATCATTAGATGTTGATATTTTGTTGGTTTTAGGTTGAACGTTGAACATTGACGGCCTGATGTTGAGTTCTGACGTTAACCTGATTTTCATTTCCAAACAAAATTTAATATCCCCATGATGTTAGGGTAAAACGTCAATCTGACATCATGTTGATGTCCTGTGCCTGCTGGGTGTTTCAGGCCATTTCAATCATCACAGTAAACATCCGTCGTCTTCTCATCAGTGACGTGCATGTAAACAGTCTCTGGGTCAATACCTGTAAAGATTTTGAACATCTTCTTGGACACTTTTAATGCTTCCAAACAGTTTGCTGCAATTATAAATCGCCCATGTCTTGAGGTAGTTTATTATGATGCGATTTACTTTCTATGTGTGATTTGATTGGACAGTAATGACAGGACTGATTTTTCTAATCCCCATAGACAAGAAAATATAAAGTAGTGACTGCAGATTGAAGGAAAATTGTGGAGTAAAAGTGCAGATACAGCACTAAAAATGTACACGAGGGGAAGTAAAAGTACACATTTTTAAAACTACTCAGCCAATTACAATTCCTGAGAAAAACTACTCAATTACAGTCATTCGAGTATTTGTAATTAGTTACTTTAGACCACTTGTTAAAATAAATCTTTTAAAAAAAACATGATATTCACCACACCTCAGTTGGTTAAAAAAAGTCAAATAAAGGATGGTCAAATTGTTTAGATTGCCCAGTCAATTATAGTCATTTTAACATTTAAAAAAAAAAAGACTAGCTTGCATGTAAAATGAATGTTTGGCTTGCTGAGCTTATGCAAATGACCTTCTACAAATAGATATGCAGCACCCATAGAGTCCACCTTCTAATCTATCGTATGCATGCTTAATTATCTTAAGTAACACAATGGCTGTGTCTGAAACCACCTACTACTCAGTAGGCACTGCATTTGAATTTAAACGTACTACACGGCCGTTAGAAAAGTACGTTCTATACAGCATTAATGTAAAAAGTATGAATGGAATGCGGACGTACTACATCCACCATTTTGTCATGGTCATGTGACCTACCTGCGTCAGTTGCGTCGCAACACTTCCATTCATGAATTCTCTCGCGGGGCATCACGGCATAGCGCAGCCTGCATTGAATGCGCAGTTCAGAATCCCGCTGGAAGTAGTAAGTCATCCGGGTATGTCTCGCATACTGTATTTCGAATTCTATGAATTCAGACATACTACTCGGCTCGCATGCTGGCTGAAGTATGCGGTTTCGAACGCAGCTAATTAATCTTGAATAGTTACCTTGAGGTTTCTCGTAGTATATTGTTAATGTGGTTCTGCACAATTCACTTTTCCTCATTATTTATTGCTCATTAACGCTATTTACCCTTTATAATTGTTCTCATTTATTTGTTTTTTGCAGTGATTTCCTGCTTTGCTGGTTACTGCAATGAATGGTAACACTGTCCAGCAAACCACGAGCACTGCACCATTCGTAGCACCTCCTTGTGGATGGAGGGAGTTCTGCGAGTTGCATGCCAGCACCACGGCCCGAGAACTCGCCCAGCACTACCGGCGCTTCGTCAGAGAGCGGCCGGTGCAGGATGTGGTCCCGCCGGAAAGTTTCTCCAAGCAGTTCAGCGCCCTGTTCCAGCACCACTTCAGCTGTGAGGTGGCCAAAAATGCAGAACTCTCCTTGCGGCCCCCACCGCCACCTCCCTTACTACCTATGACCAGCCGCTTACGCATTACTTCGTTCTCCGGAGTGCTGGATTACAGGGAGACCGTGCGGCCTGCTCCTCTAGTTGCCATATTAGCGCCCAAACCAGATGCTAGTGGCGTTCCTAGGGAACAGGAGCAGTTGCTGCGCTGCTCTCCTCCAGACACTACACACCGTACGCGGAATCACAGTCAGGAAAACGAACGCTCTGATTTTAGGACTGGCTCAGAAGGATACTCTCCCACTGCATGCGACTTCCCTTCCCGAAATGACGTAACTCACATTTCTGTCAGTCGCATTCGAGAAAGCGTTTGTCGACTTTTTAAGAAATCACCGCAATTTGGCGAATCCTCAAGTTGTTGTCCAAGGGACGAGTTGATCCCGAGTGGTGGACCACCTGTGAGTGTTGAATGCACCCCTCACAGCCCACCTGTGCAGGTACCCACCAATCGCACTTCACAGAGGGCTGCACTGTGGGAGCGCTGGAATCCATGGCGGACTGTGAGACGGAGGCAAGAGTTTGGAAGTGTTTGTAAAGAGGGGCAGCTGCGGTACCTAGAGGTGGACGACACTATTTCAGACACGGCCCCACAATGGCAGCGCTGCCGCCTGCAGGTCAGGAGGACCAATGAGCACAGCGCTAGCCAGAGGTACCTGCTAGAGCTCTACGACCCACCCAAGGTAAGGCAAGCGTTTGAGGTCCTAAACGTTTATTTCACACGACCGCCGTTTTAAAAGGCGAAAGCGAGGCTGCGGTGGGAAGCAACCCAGAAGTATAGGATCAGCTCTGTAAACATTGCAACAACATCCTATGGACTACAAACCTCCAGCTGTTGCTGCAGATATGGTGTAAACATCATTTTAATATCATCTAGTTCAGTTTAATTTAAACAATTAAAAGCATATTAGGCATCAAACAACATCACAATCTCTTTAAGAGTGTCCTCTTAGGCTTTAGTTCATGGCACCAGATAAAAACCGCAGGGACTTCCCTGCTTCAGCCTGTGCAACCCGGTGAGCAATAAAACAATGCAGTCCTCTCCAGCACACCCTCGTGTTGTCTGTAATAGTGTTGTTCCGGTACTGAAGTTTTAAAAAAATCCATTTCCCTGTTAACTGCTAAGTGCGCTCTTGAACACTGCTGATTTGCCATGGTATTCATCAGTGCTCAACAGAAATGACAGTGATTGGCCGTGACCGTTCACCGAGTGCAAACACAGATGCACAAACACTGGAGTGTTTTAAAGCCTTTGAGTAACTCAGAAGACGGTGAAAATATAGATTTGTTTCGCTTTCTCTTCAATTATATGATGTACAGCCATGTATACAACATTCCTGTTTGACTCAGGCGATACTTCCAGGTTTCTTCCCACCGCAGCCTTGATTTCGTTTTATAAATAGCGGCCACGTGAAATCAGTCTAATGCATTATGGGTATTTTCTAATGCTTGAATATACATTGTGTAGGGCTGGGCTGATTTATGTCGATATTAATGAAAAGACATTTTTACTCGATGATAATCCTAAGACGTGCTCTACACGGCCCATGGCACCGCTGGAGTTGTGTTGATATTAGAGATTCAATTAATTTTTGGTCGCTGAAAATAGGTCATTTGATTTTATAGTCGCTGGCTTTCTGTAACATGATATATATTGGAAAAATGTTTTACTGTTGATCAGTATCAGTGAAAAAAGGGTGGATGTTTAAAACTTGACAGGATTTTCAAGGAATGGTTGGACCGTTGTTTGCTTTTACAGTTTGTTGTTCAAAAGCACATACTTTCTTCCATATACAGTTGAAATCAGAATTAGTAGCTCCCGTTTATTTATTTCCCCAATTTCTGTTTAACAAAGAGATTTTTTTCAACACATTTCTAAATATAATAGTTTAATTACTCATTTCAAATAACTGATTTATTTTATCTTTGCCATGATGACAGTAAATAATATTTGACTAGATATTTTTCAAGGCACTTCTATACAGCTTAAAGCGACATTTAAAAGCATAACTTGGTTAACTAGGCAGGTTAAAGTAATTAGGCAAGTTATTGTATAATGATGGTTTGTTTTGTAGACTATCGACAAAAAAATATTGCTTAAACAGACTAATAACAGACTAATAATATTGATATATATAATATATCGTAAAATGGTGTTTAAAATTAAAAACTGCTTTTATTCTAGCCGAAATAAAACAAATAAGACTTCCTCCAGAAGAAAAAAGATTATCAGACACACTGTGAAAAATTTCTTGCTCTGTTAAACATCATTTGGGAAATATTCAAAAAATAAAAAAAAATAAAAGGGGGGCTAATAATTCTGACTTTAACTGTATATACAAATGTCATCTTAAAAATTAGTACAATATATCACATAAATGCATTAAAGTTGCATTTGAAAATCTGCGTGACTTGTCCTTTAAGCCTGTTATTTAAATTTGAACATGCAAACGTGACCTAGATGTCATGTTTTGGATAATAACAGTTAATTCACGTTTATTCAAAAATGATGCATCATGATGTGTTGCACAAATTTTGTTTTGTCAAAGTCACGCAAGAACCCGTTGCATTGTAGTTATTGAAGTCAAATCTGGTGTCTTGACTTGAGGCCTTATTTTTAAGTACACAATGTTTAGAATGAGATGTTGGAGCAATGTTTTGTTTTGGTTGAATTTAATTTTTGTTTAAATAAGCATGTTGCTAACTCCCTTTGCTAATTTTACTATGAAATCTTGTGTGACTTGTCTTGAGATATTCATTTATAATATAAGCAGTCGTCAATTACATTGTGTTCTTTAGCCAAAACAATTATGCATGTATGCAATCTTTAAAAATATACATTTAATTCACACATTTAAATCTGGAGTGATAATTATATCATGAAATGTGGTGACTTGAAGCAATCATAAACGAATTTTAAGAGCCTTGCGGTGTTTTGGCTCACAAAACTGCACATTTCATTCATGCATTTTCTTTAATGGCACATTTAGACGTCAATGATAGTCATATAAGCACCAACTGCACTGTAGTAGTTGAAGTCAAATCTAGAATAGCAGTTCAGAATAGATGTGCTGATGCCACTGAGTCTCGCAAGTAACAACTGCATTTGTCATTGACGTCAGTCTGGTATGAGTTGTCTTGAAGTGTCAAGTTTAACAGTAAACCGTGGGAACCAGTTGGCTTTAATGTCAAATATTGTGTCAGTGGCCTTAAAGGGATAGTTCACTCAAAAATAAGCACTCTACTATCATTTACTCGCTTTGCACTTGTTATAATGTGTTTTCTGAGTTGAAAGCAAAGTCATAGAAGACAATGAGTGCCAGCAACTAGCATTTTACCAAATATCTTCTTTAATCATCGACAGAAGAAAGAATTCCATAAAGGTTTAAAACCACATGAGGGGAGAATAAATGATGAGTTCAATTTCATTTTTGGGTGAACTATCCCTTTAAGACCTTTACATTTTTATATAGTGCGTATGAATACAAATTATACTTAAAAGCTATGGTACAGAGGAAATAATAACTTACATTCTTCATGATATATTCTTCCATGAAGTACAAATTTTTTTTAATGCATTTAAAACTCCATAACCCTTTTACACGTACAATCACACCGGTGTGATCAGCCTTGGCTGGTCTTTGAAGTGTATGATCACACCCGTGTGATTTAAAATGTTCAAAGCCCACATCATCACCTGCTAAAATTCAAATCTGACGGCCCTGTGAGGTTTAGAAAGAGGTGCGCAGTGCTTGTCATAAATCACAATTTATCCCTGCTTTCAAACAAATAACATTTATAGTTTAAAAATTATGAATAAACATGAAGTAAATCCAGCAGTTCGGATCTCTCCTGCGGTTGTTGCTAGAAGGGATACAGCTGCAATTGGAAGTTACCGAGGATTATCCTCAGCTGTATCCCATCTAGACTTTACCGTACTGAAGGAAAGGGTGAAGTCTACATGGGATACAGCTGAAGATGCTTGCTTCGATATAGGGTTATTTTTGTGACACTGTACAATTTTTACATTACCGTGAGGGTTGGGTTTAGGGTTGAGGTAGGTTTAGACGCTTAAATAATACAATAAATGCGTAGTTTAATAAATACTTAACTTCTGACTGCAGTCGTACAACTTCTTGCAACAACAGTGGCGCCCGTTAACCATCATATAACAAATATTACGAACATTATTAAGCTGTTTAAAATACAAAACATATGTTCTATCACATGTTTGGGAATCGTATCAAAACAATAAAATTAAAACATTTTTCGATTTGTCAAAGAAACAAAATATCATTTATACATACAGTTAAAACCAGAAGTTTACATACACTCTAAAAAAAAGGAACATAACCATAAAAAAAAATGTCTGATTATAAATTATAGGTAATGTTTACTATTTTAGGTTTGCCAGAATTACCTAAATGATTTACATTTGCTAAATGCCAGAATAATGAGAGAATTTTTTTTGATAATTTTTTTTTTATTATTATTAATTTCTCGACAGTCAAACGTTTACATACATTTCCTTGGTATTTATGTAGCTTTGCTTTTAAATTATATAACTTTGGTCAAATGTTTTGGGTATCCCTCCTCAAGCTTCCCACAATAGTTGGAAGGAATTTTGGCCCATTCCTCCTGACAGAATTGGTGTAACTGAGTCAGATTTGTTGGCTGTCTTGCTCGCACAAGCTTTTTCAACTCTGCCCACAAATTTTCTATAGGCTTGAGATCAGGGCTTTGGTATGGCCACTCCAAAACATTCACTCTGTCCTTTAAGCACATTTTAACTCATTTGGCAGTATGCTTAGGGTCATGGTCTGTTTGGAAGACACATTCGTTGCCAAGTTTAATTTCCTGGCTGATGTCTTGAGATGTTGCTTCAGTATTTCTACATAATGTTTTTTCTTCATGATGCCATCTATGCTGTGAAGTAGACCAGTCTCTCCTGCAGCCACCCAACATGATGCTGCCGCCCTCAAACTTCACAGTTGAGATGGTGTTCCTAGACTTGTAAGCTTTCCCCTTTGTCCTCCAAATGTAACACTGGTCATTATGGCCAAACAGTTCAATCTTAGCTCCATCAGACCACAGGACATGTCTCCAAAAATGATTTGTTTCCCAGTGTAATTTAGCTAATTGTAATCTGGCTTTTGTTGTCTATTCTGGCTTGTTGATTTCCCCATGTTGTCATACAAGGAAGCAGTGTGTTTGAGGTTTTCCTTAAATACCATTCTACAGTTGTGCCTCCAATTAACTCAAATGTTATCAATTAGCCAATCAGAAACTTCCAAAACTTCGACACCATCATCTGAGCTTTTTCAGAGGCAGAATAATCTTATTGTGTGTAAACTTGACATTCAAAAAAAGTTATAACAATTTCTCAAAAATATCTCTCTCATTATTCTGCTATTAAGCATAAAAGAAACAAATTTTATAATCCTAACTTACCTAAAAGAGAAAAAGTTTAGTCACATTAACATCTGACTTTTGTTTACATGGTTATATGCCTTTTTTTACAGTGTATGTAAACTTCTGGTTTCAGCTGTAGATCATTGGGCTGGTGGGTCATGTGATAAACGACCGGTCACTTTGGGAATTATTGAACACAACAGATTAAGTACTGGGCACAAAAAAACCTCATGCTGGAGGGTCAGCTGGAGTATTTTCACCTCACGTGTGA